CACGCTCTGCACTATTTCATGTTGATTTTTGAGGTAAACAAGAAGGAAATACAACCGCTTCAGCAAACTATTTTAAAAATAAATGGCAAATGTCAATGCACAGTTAACTTAGATTTGATTTGATTAACTTACAAATATAGAAAAAAGTAAATAGTAACTGTTGCATGTGCAAAAAATTGGACAACCTACTGAGTCAGTAACAAGTAAAACCTCCACTGGCAAATTTTACAGCTTGCAAATTCTTTTTCTAACCAGCTGGAAGTCTTTTAATTCTTGTTTTAGGAATTTTCACCCACTCTTTTTTGCAGAATGGTTTTCTGGTTCTGTGATCTTGGGCTGTCTTACATGTACAGCATGTTTAACCCCTGTGTGGTGTTGGTGTGTTTGTTAGTCAGTGGTCTGGTTGAGTTCTCCTTTAGCAGCTGTAGCCAGTCAGCAGCCTGTCCATGTTGTCCACCCTCACACACACACATATACAAACACATACACACAGACCACCACACTAACAGCAGGCCATGTAGGAGGAGAACAGAGTGAAGGACACAGCACCTCCACACTTTTACTCCCCCCGGGTTCACCCAACACCACATGTGTAATATAAATGTGTGGGGGGTGAACAGAGGGAAGGCACTGAAAATGGGTTATTTTATATGTTCTTCACTGAAAATGAGCAAAGGCCAAGAATCTGAGGTTTAAATAATAATAAGTCACATATTTTTTTTCTTTTGGTAAACAATGAAAATGGGTCCCACGGACCTGAACCCCACACAAGGGTTAAGATCTACCCACAGATTTTCAGTGATGGTCATTCCAAAAGCTTCAGCTTATGTTTCTTAAGAAAGATTTAAGGGGGGGTTTTTGGATCATTGTCCTGCTGTAGAAGCCAGCCTCTTTTCAGGTTCAGGTTCTCAACAGACTTTGTAACGTTTGCTGATATTTCATATCCATTCTTCCATCTACCTGTGCAATGTTTCCTGTGCCACTGGCTGTCCCACAGCCCCAAAGCATAACAGATCCATTACCGTGATTAACAACTGGCGAGGATTTGGTGGACAAAAACGTTTATCACTTATTTATTGTACTTTTGCTAAAGTAGTCCTACTTTATCAGTCAACAGCTCTTATTTATAAAATGCCTCTGGCTTATCTAGATATTTTGCATTTTGGGACAGTGGCATTAATTAGCTTTAATTTCAGCAATTCAAGGTTTGAGGAACCAGATAATTTATTATGCTTAAGAATAATCATCAGCTGACAATTCCCAATGACAATTATTGACCTGCCAGAAAAGACATATTAAATTATTTAGGTTCTAAGATGCTACAATGCAACAGTGTCTAAACATTTTATGTTAATCGAATATAAAATAAAAAATTGTGAAAATATAAATGTGCTCCAGAGTTTGTGTTTACTTCTTTTCACTACAAAAGTTAACAAAATATGTAAATTGGGGTGCCCTGCACCTTTTCCCCCTCCTTAAAGCCAGCCTGTCCCAATGTATTCTACTTTATAATTTCTCTGTGCATTAATTTTACCTTTCTAGAGGAAGTTGAAATGTAAAAATCAATTATTTTTCCCACCTCTTTCGCATAGCTAACATAGTAGATGTGGATATCTTGATGACTAACTTTGTCTGTACTTTTGTCATTTTTTATTGATAACAGTGCAATGCCAGAAACCACATAAACAAGCCTGGTAGAGATTACTTAATGGAATATTTCAGCATTTTTCTTGAAATGTTTCTTGAACTTAATCTCTATCTGCTGCTTCTGTAATGCAGTCAATTACCATGGACACCACCTCTGATACATTTCCCTTTCTCTCTAGAAAAGAACAAAAAACTGGTAAAAAAGCTGGACTATTCTTTTAACAACTCAACGTGGTGTGTGATGATACCACACTGCACCCCAGGACAGCAGCGCTTCAGGGGGGTGCTGGTAGAAGTAGCTGGTGGTTTGGGTTTATATGGTGGTGCCAAAGTCATTTTCAGCTTTTTAGGCTGCAGATTTAGCTGCTGAATATGCGCAAGGCTCTCCACACAAGGGCTGCCAAGAGGATAATGCATGCGTTGGACGGGCACTGCGAATAAAGATTCCCATCAGCTACGCTCGTGTTCCGGGTGACTACCCTCTCCCTGAACCTCCGACAGACCGCCTGCGCGGCTATTTACAGAGGCATCTGACAGAAGGACGTTTGGTGCACTCATGCCACCTGTGGCTCAACTGCAGCGGTCTAGGTTTTCTTCTCCCAGTCTCTCTCTCTCTCTCTCTCTCTCTCTCTCTCTCTGTTTTTCTCTCAATACCTCTCTCTCTCATTCATCTACCTGCACCTGACATGGCTCAGATTTCCCATCCTCGCTAATGAGATGTCCAAATCCGGTTTAGCATGCTAATGCGCTTAGCATCCCGTAACGTCTCTGTGGAACGTTCCCTCACAACAAGGTTACGCAAATCCTGCGACCGACGGGGGGACGTGCCGGAGGGGACGTGGAGCAACGTTCAGCCCATGTAGGAAGCACTGGAGGCTCATCTGGGCCTGCAAGTCCTTTCAGCTGAACTTCACTGGGATGGCAGCTTCGTTGCGAATGACATTGAATCGCACCTGTGGCAGGTGACGGACGCCTGTCTGTGTCGGACATAAAGAAAAAAAAAAAGGCCTGGAGCGACAGCATGGGAAGGGCTTGGCTCTCCCCTCCTACCCCCAGCCCAGGGGAGGCGGCTATAAAAAGAGTCGAAGCCCATTCATGAAGAGGACCATTGATTCGGTTAATTTTATGCCGGAAAATGATTTCCCCGATGGCCACTCGCGCCAGGACGCATTGTACGTGGAGAAAGAAGCCCTAAAGCTAACGATAAAGCACCACGCGCTAGCTGTTTAGGAGCGCTGTTTGGAATTCATGACACTTTTTACTTTGGCCCTGATGCCTCAGGCTCAGAGGCAGAGCTAGAGAGAGCAGGTGAGAGAGAATGAGAGAGTGAGAGCAGGAGAGAGAGAGAGAGAGAGATCACCTATTAAAGTAATGCTTACATCATCTTTAAAGCAAAAATAAAGACACATGCAAGTTTCTAATGCATATTTTTCCATATTAAAATTTTCTTTCAATAACCCCATGTGGTGAATCGAAGGCGGAAAAGGCTTGTTTGACGATTATTACTAAAATGCTGTCTATGTGGTTTTAAGTTGTTTGTACAGCAAAAACATACTTAAAGCCACAAAGGCATAAGCTACAAAAGGACAAAGGGACTAATGGGCCTCTCTGACTTCTACACAACCTTATTGTTTTAAGGCAACCTCATATTTCTCAAACGGTGACTTTATATGGGAAGGAAATAATAATCTTAACACACATAAGTGTATTAATATAACATTTTGAAAGGTTTCACTTTAAAATAAGACTACCCTTTCTGTAGATAGTCTTATTGTAAGGGTTTATTGGGTCCTAAACTCTTTAAACATAATTAAAAAAATAGAATATAACCCATTAATAAAAAGGTCAAAAGTGAGATGTTATATCTGGCGTGAGATGTTATATCTGGCGAATATGAATATCTGATGTAGCTGACAGATATAATGCTGATTGATGGAGAAGTGATCAGCAAGATCTGAGGTTTAACTGTACAGATGAAAGTGGGCACACTGTGTGACAAATAACACCTAACTGCTGTCCTTTTTTATTTGTGTTAAAACAATAGGTTGTTTATGACCTAACAGCCATTAAAAACTAATTTTAAACTATGCAAAAAACCTTCATAAGGGTAGTCTTATTCTAAAGTGGTACCCAACATGCTATTGGTCCATCCATCATGAATTATGAGTTCTTACAACAGCAACAACATTCAAACTATTGAGAAATTGATGACATTTTCATGTAGGTGTGTTCGTAAGGCTACATGACACCTACATAAGCTTTACACAACCCACAGAATCATTTATAAAGGCTTGTTCCATTAAGTATCACTGATCACAAAGACTGCTTTTGTCAACGAGTCTCCTATTTCAGGTGACATCCATTTTTTCTGACATTTGGTTATGTTATGACACTTTTTGAAATTACATAGCATGTTATAACAACTTATTTTGAGGTGTATTGAATATCACAGTGACATAAATGACAACAATGTGACATAGGCTAAATCTAATAAATGGTAAAAATTAAATTTGCCTGAGGGCCTCAAAAAAAGCTCACTTTTATTCAACCAGCCTGACCTGGTATGATATGTCATATTATCAGTGTCACTATGACAGTATACAACGTAAACATTCTCTGTGTAAAATTACAGTCAATTACTGACTTCTAGTTGCATTACTTTTATAGTCTTTTGCTGTAGCATATTAACAGTAAATAACAGTAATAATAATAAAAAGAATAATTAATATTAATAATAATACAAATAATAATAAGAGAATGAAATATTAAAATTCTTTAAAGCTCCAAAACCTATTGCAATCTTTATGATAAATGTTGCCCATTTACAAAAGTATATCACTGTTGTTGGAACAATATCTCCATCTCCATTTCTCTCCATTCTCCATCTCATATCTCCATTTTTGTTGTTTTTCAGTTTCTGACATAATTTAAAAACGCCCATTGTCCTTTACATTGTGTGTAAATTTCTCGATGAATTGACTAAAAGAAATGGCTGAAAATGATTTGGAAAAAACTCTGGTTCCACTGACTTACATTAAAAGTAAAGTAGGTTTTTTCTTCTCCTGTAAAGTTACCATTTTGGAGATACGAGGTTTTGTTCCAACAGCAGCGATATGTAGGTCTATGCCAGTTGCTTATATATGTGTGTTGTGGCCTTATGAAAACCGCCTTACAGTAAAATGTTGCCAACAATTCACATCATGCTGTAGATGTGCCAGTTATCACAATCCAAACCGCCCCTTGGAAGGCTGCCTGGGTTTTGCAGAGCAGGTGAGGGGTCTGGGGTGGGTCAAGGGGGTCTGTGCGCATTTGTACATTTGAGTGGGCGCGTGTTTGAGAGCGTGCTCTCTCACCATCTGTTTTGAGCGTCAGCGGCGTCGGCGGGCTCAAGACCCTGGCGTTGGTCACGGTGTTCTTCACCAGGCAGATGTAGCTGCCTACGTCCGAGGGCTGCACTTTGGAGATGTACAGATTGCCCGTCTCCTGCGAGATGAAGCGCCGGCTGTCCTCCGCCACGAACGAGGGGAACTCGTTGAACACCCAGCTGTAGATGATCTCTGAAGGGGGTAGAGGAGGGGTGGGGGAGAGCATACAGATGAGATGGATGAGCAGCATTCGCGGAGGCTCCCTGAGGAGGCCCTGTCTCTATCCACAGCACACCTCACTGCCCTCGCCAGACACAGGGGGCCACAGGGGGCCACAGGAGTCAGTTTCAGAGCACTGATGAACAGGTGATGTTTATTAATTCTGCCTCTCTAATAGGTACACAGCAGAGCACATGGTGCTAGGTTCATGTGCTCTGTATTCTTATTATCTTCTGCACCATTATACAGAAGTGAACTTGCTTCTAGTGCTGAAAACTAGGGCTGTCCACTACACTGAGATGCCAGTTTATTAGATACACCAACCTGGTATTTACATTCTTGTAAATCTGTTGTGTCGGTATGAGTGGATCAGACACAGCAGTGCTGCTGGAGTTTTTAAACACTGTGTCCACTCACTGTCCACTCTATTAGACACTCCTACCTTGTCAGTCACTATTCTCAGTCCAGCAGTGACAATGAGGTGTTTAAAAACTCCAGCAGCACTGCTGTGTCTGATCCACTCAGACCAGTGCAACACACACTAACACACCACCATGACAGTGTTACTGACCACCAAATAGTACCTGATCTGTGAGGGTCCATGGGGGTCCTGACCACTGAAGAACAGGGTAAAAGGGGGCTAACAAAGTATGCAGAGAAACAGATGGACTACAGTCTGTAACTGTAGAACTACAAAGTGCACCTATACAGTAAGTGGAGCTGATAAAATGGACAATGAGTGTAGAAACAAGGAGGTGGTCATAATGTTATGCCTGATTGGGGTACAACTGGCATTTCCATGGTCTTGAATGCATAACCAGTGAGCACATATGATTGGATTTCATGACTGGAGGAAGAGTGTCACACACATTTACTGCGTTAGTCTCTTGGTCATTTGTCGACTAAAATGTGCTGCAAATCTTCATTTATGTTCATTTACAAACTGCGACAAAACGTATAGACCTTACAGAGCACTAGCTTGTAAACAAACAAAAGAGAAGGCTGTCCTTGACCACTGCTGAAGGTCATTTGAGTAATCAGATTACAACGCATCTCCCAATGCAATGAACCCTATTCACATCTTTACTTAGTGCTGACCAACTGGACCACCGAAGGGGCATCTTAACCCTTGTGTGGTGTTGGGGTCTGTGGAACCCGTTTTTTTTTACCAAAAGAAAAAAATATGTGATTTATTATTACGTCAACCTCAAACTTGTTGTCCTTTGCTCATTTTCTGTGGAGAACACATAAATTAATTCATTTTCACTGACTTCACACTGTTCAACACAACAAAAATTTATAGTACTCATGTGGTGTACTATAATAATAACAGGTAATAAAAGTGTGAAGGCGCTGTGTCCCTTGACTCTGTCCATCTCCTACATGGCCTGCTGGTGAGACCTCAAATCCAGAGAAGACAACACATCCCAAGAAGCCCAGCTTCTGCAGCCAGAGACAGATTCAGGAGGAGGAGGCTGGAGTCCCTTCAGCCCACAGACCCACAGAACAACCATCCACAGGAGCTGAAGTCGGTGTGAGATGCTGTTGCATATGATATGTCTGACTTTCTCACCTTGACCAACTATAATGTGTGTGTATGTGTGTGAGAGAGAGAGAGACAGACAGAGAGAGAGAGAGAGACAGAGAGAGAGAGAGAGGGGAGAAAGAGAGAGAGAGAGAGAAAGAGACAGAGGGAGAGAGAGAGAGAGAGAAAGACAGACAAAGAGAGAGAGAGAGAGAGAGAGAGAGAGAGAGAGATTTTTCCACCCATACATTGATATTGATTTTGCTCCTTTTTTTGCGATTCATCACAAAAAACAGACAGCACTACTGTTTATAGATATGAACTAACAGAGGTAAGTGGTAAATACTAACCATATATGCTGTCTTTACTGCTTGTAATTGGGGTAAAGTAAACATGGTATTTTCACATAAATGATTAAGGCTGTGTTGATTTAAAAACCTAATAATGCGGTGGATCCACTAGACCCGCAAACACTGACTGAGTAACAAAAATATGAACACCACACAAGGGTTAAACGGAGACATTATACGACCTGTGACTGCAGTTTAGTCAAGAAAGCTGCAAACGCAGACCAAGAATAAACACAAGAACTATGGGAGCACACTGTCACTGGCCATTACAGCAACACTTTGTGCTCTGATGGGGAAAAAGAGGAAAATATGCCAACATTTGAGGACCTTTAATTGGACAAAGGCCATTTGAACAGACCACAAGAATCAAGTGAGTTTGGTATCATATTCAGTGCATGTTTGATCTGGACCTACAGTTAATGAGGCCTCCCCTCGCTTCACTGATCACAAGAAAGGCTCTTCATATCTAATGTATCCTGGAAAATCATTTGGCCAACTTTCAAGTTATAAGTTATTCATGATAAACAGCAATGGGTAGAAATCGTCCGGTGGTGTCTGACTCCGGCATGCAGATGTTTACACATTCTTTATCATGTTGAGTTTGAAATCAAAACACAAAAGCAGGCTTTCGACGCTGGCCTGGATTAGACTGTGTGCTTTTGGGCATTACTGGGACATCAGTTATGTTGCACCAAATAAATCAGAGCAATATCATTTGTTATACATCCTCATATTTATGCTAGTTGCCTTACGTCGACTAGCTACAGTCGTCGTAGCGTAGACGAAGACAAAAAAAGACAAAAACGTCTCCTAGCCCATCATCCAGAGAGACTAAATGATTATTTTTTTTCCCCTGCCAGGCCAATTTATTCGCAGTATAATTATCGCATGAATTTCATAGACCATTGATTTCTTTTGCATATCAAATGTGCTCGCCCGTCCAGGTGCCGCATTGTGGGGAGGGTGATTAATCACTGAGAAACTGCAGCGCTTTTAAGAGATTCAAGTTCAATTTTTCAGACACAAGGCCCTAATGTCACCTGAATAAACAATGAATATTTATCTCATAAACAAAATTCAAAAGGACTCCTTCACAAGAGGCGTCTGCGCAGAATGTCAAACACTGTGAATCAGTCGTTTGTGTGCGGAGCTTCTGAGCTCCAGGCTTTGGTGTTCGCCTGATGTTTTTGCTGTTTTTTCTCGCTAATACCCTGGAACTATCAGAAATGGCACCACTGACAGCTTTCTGGAAGGTACAATTATTGTTCATTATTGTACTGTGATTGCAATTTCTCATCGCAGCAGGTCTATTAAAAAGCTTCTCATGTGTCTTAGCCTTCTGTTTAGTCACTTTCTAAATTCTCAACAAATACTCAAGATTGACATGTCCCTCGTCAAAGCAAAGTGCTTCTCTTAGGTGTGGGTATAAAAAGTGAGAGCCCCCAAGGCAAAAGAACCATGAACCTTAATAAGGATAATAGTAATATTTGGGTTAGTGAAAACTGTGTTAATGTTAGCTAAAAATGGCTCGTTCATGGATGTTTCAGTCACGTTTCAAATGAAAATACAGCAGCTTCTGCATCTCCTGCTGTCTAGTTTGCTGCATCACACACTAATCAGGCATAACATTATGACAGCTCCTTGTTTCTTTGCTCATTGTCCATTTTATCAGCTCCACTTACTATATAGGTGCACTTTGTAGTTCTACAGTTACAGACTGTAGTCCATCTGTTTCTCTGCATACTTTGTTAGCCCCCTTTTACCCTGTTCTTCAGTGGTCAGGACCCCCATGGACCCTCACAGAGCAGGTACTATTTGGATGGTGGATCATTCTCAGCACTGCAGTAACACTGACATGGTGGTGGTGTGTTAGTGTGTGTTGCGCTGGTCTGAGTGGATCAGACACAGCAATGCTGCTGGAGTTTTTATTTTTTTTATCTTTATGTTTAATTATAAATTGAGCTGCGTATTTAATATCAGATATTTTTAAAACTCAAAATCAATGTAAACTGAAAGCCCTTTGTTTTTAATATGAAGGCTAAAAGCAGAGATGTAGTATAACAGTAGCGAGTGGGTTTGGGTGATTTTGGAGCTGATCTCTGGCTGATGGACGGTCACAGGTGGATGAAATCACTCTGGATGGTGAAGCAGAGTCTGATGAGTGATCGAATTATGAAGGCCAAACAGCAGATTAATAAAATCAGAATTTTATGTGATTTTCTGAGCCAATTTACTCACTGATGCTGACATCACAGCTCAGTGATGTCATGCTTGCTAGTTAGGGGTGGGTCTGCTGAATGTCCTGATATGTGAATCATGTTTGTGTCTTAAACCGTTCTGAAGTTATGAAGACTAGAAATGACCTACCGTTTTGCCTGCAAATTGCTGTCATGTTCTTAGGTGCCTAAAATTTTACACAGTACTGTATATACATAAACATAAAATTGTAACTATACCATGATATAATCTTTTGGCCATACCTCCCACTACTAGTTATATAAAAAAAGAAAATATCAGAAAAGTAATAATCTTTGCTGATGCAGCATGGCTGGCAAAGCAGTGTTTTGTCCCATACAGCGGCAGCCTGCATACGGCAAGCAGCAAAAAATAGGTTTGCTTCATGCACGAACCCAAAACTGCACCACCACGCCGCCTACCGCAGACCACGGGTATAACAGGCTATGCTGATTAATGTAAACCACTGAAAGAAAACATTCTCAACATGTTATTTTCCCTTATGTTATTTTCTTAAGGTCTAAACCATGTTCATTGTAGAGTTTAAGCAAATGGCATAAAGGTGAAACCGGTTACACTCTCACCTTGACCCCTCACTCCTTTGTTTGTATTGAAATGACCCTTTGTCTCACGACCTTAAGATGATATCACCCCCCCCTTATCTTTACCCCCTACATATTCTCCCTCTACAACCCCTCCTTAACCCTCCTCAAACTCCTTTTCCTCCTCTTTCCTCCCCCTTAGTTTTCCATGCATATAAGGTCCTTCCAAAATATTCTTATCAGACTGGTGACCAGACTGGACTGGAGACTGGACTGGTGACAGACTGATGGCCAAGCTGTGCCCGTGCATGACTGTCTGCA